TTAAATAAAAAATTCTTATAGCTATATAAGAAAATGATAATAACACATATCGGTCACCTAAATTATAATCACTCATTACCACTAAAAATGAAACAGCAGAATTGTTAAAGGAGCATGAGAATTTCTCTGAACCAGTGTTTGCAGGATTAAAATAGTCCTCAGCTACCTTCTTAATATATTCATAAAGCCAAAAATATGACTAAAATGAAGGTAGCAATTATCTTTAAGGGAAAACCCATCTATCACTTTACTCAGTACCTATGAAAGATTCCTGAATAAAATGAATATGTCTTGGACAATCAGAATGCTTCACTTACAGATCTATGTATTCAAAAGAACATTTATCTGTGGTTGGTTTAATGGTTGACTCAGGACTCCTTGCAATTCCCGCTGCAAAAATAAAATAGGGATGCCAATTCTCTTACTGACATATGCCAGAAGATCCCAGGCTGCTGCATAAGGAGGCCCTCGTTAAATTGAGCAGAGATTCAGTGCCTAACAGATAATATAATTGCTTTCCTTTATGGCGTTTTCCTCACTTGGAATGTCTTTACAGCCTTGTCAAGCAGATTAGAAGAAAGCTAACAGGATACTGATGAAGGTGGTACATAACGTGTCTTAGGCATACTGTGATCTGTCTTAAAGGAAGCCTTGTTCCCTGTGCTTTTCCAATAAGTCAAAAACAGGCAACCTGTTTCCATTATCCCTTTTTTTTAATGGCCCCAGTCCCTCCTCCCCCAGATCACATTGCTGCCATTTAGTATGTATGATTTTTGAGAAGTGGATTTAACAAAATAGGAAGCAAACTAAGTGCATTAAGATGGAGGTTCCAGCCTCTTCTCCTTATCCTATCACAACATCACTGACTGTTCCTCCTCTTCTCCTTTTAAGTGATCATTATGAATTATTTTTTTATTGTCAGTGAAAAAAATAATCTCTTGCCCTCTGCAGACAGAGTTTGATTTCATAAAGTACAGTAAAAACAGGTATATAAAGTTCTGTTAGAACAAGCACCAGTTTCCATGGACTCATTGTTTTTAGCTGCTTGTCTGCAAGCCCCACTAAATCCTACTTATTTCTTCCCCAAACTTTCATTGAGAGAGTTTTCCATTGCTCTGGCTTGCTCTGGCTGCCTCTAATCTACTGTATCTCAACTTAATCTACCAATCTGGTGAGCAGATCCCCGGGTTGCAAATTCCTGAGTTAGCTACTTTCTTGTAGTAGAAGCGCTTAAAGAAAGACATTAAGCCAAGGGTGACGTTCCCCGCACAATGCCTTTATTAAGGATTTTTCCTTCCCCTAGATACTGCGTAATGTTTACTAAATGTGACAGAGGACAACTTTACTCACAGTACATTTGCCACTGTTCCACTCATTGTGGAAAGGGTGCAGAATGGTACTCGACAAGAAAACTAACCATAAGTGTCACAGAAATTTTAGTTACTGTTATGTCCAATAAAAGCTACAAATGAATATTATTTAAAACTTTATAATGTATGGAACAGCATTAGATAAATCAGTAATAGTATTAATATTAGTGTCTTCCTAATTGTAGTGGAAGCAGTAAAACAGAAATAAATGATCAAGTAACAAATACATTGATTAAATGAACAAATAAATGTGCGCAAAACAGAAAATGCAGATGTACAAGAAAATATAGAGGCGGCAATATTTGCTAAAGGGCTAGCTTATTTATAACTTACCATTAAAAAAATGTAAACACACGCAAAAGCACTTTCATCAAAAGGGAGAAGGGGAAGAGAAGAACAAACTTTTGAATTTTCAGAGAAAGCATGGGATACAGCTGTTTATGTTTTGTTGAAGTTTACAATGTTTCTAATATTACTTGAATTCACATGGTCTTGCAGTAAGGTTCGTTTCTTAAAATTTAGGATGCATAGTTTAAAACCAACTTTTCAAACATACACAGTTAAAAAAACTCATGTTTATGAGGTCAAATTCAGTTGAAGACTTTTGTACAAAGCATACAATACTACTGAAACTGAAAGCAGTAAAGGCAAATATTTCAGGCCTTCTCATCATAAGCTGTCTTGGCTGTTTCAGAAACTCTTTTCCATATAAATTTATAAATGTCACCACTGCGACTCAAGCTAAATTTCCATGATTTTTCTCTTCCATTTGGAATTCTCATCAAGAGAGGGATTTTCTTTCTTTTTCTTTACTCAAGGTCCACAGTACAATACCAGGACACAAATGTACAGAGTTCCTAAATATAAATGAGCTGGATCTCATTCTCTGTTCAGTCCAAATTTATGTAGCAACGAAAATGTATCCGATGCTTGACATCTACCTTAGTTTGTTTCAGAACCTCTGATTTGTTAGGTCTAGTTGGCCCACTTTTGTTATCATCCATATTTACTAGGATCAGATCTCTTTGCTTGCAGCTTAGTAAAGCATTTCCATATTTGGCCCTGATTTTTCATTTTCTGGAGAAATTAAGCTAGGCTGAAGACCAACACACACATTAACAAATACACAGTCTGAAGGAGTGCAGCAATTTTGAGCAATTTCCCAGACTTTTAAAAGCCTCATTTTAAATATGATGTGGGCAAGGGGAATATATCTGTGTTTAAAAAAATAAAAAGTGCCATTTCAAGTGGCAGCTTGGCGACGGCTGCAGCCACATAACTCAGGCAGATTGTCACTTAGAATTGCATAATAAAACGCACACAATTAAAATTTAGGCTGCAAAAATCTAGGCAACCAGGAGATAGCAACAAAGGCATTTTTATAAACCCTATTTCCTGCCTTCTAGTGGCGATTCCAAATGGTGCAACCCTATTAAAATATCTAAGTCAGCGTTTTTCAAACTTGGCAAATTTAAGACATATGGACTTCAACTCCCAAAATTACCCAGAATCTCCCAGAGATCTGGGAGTTGAAGTCCACACATCTTAAAGTTGCCAAGTTTGAAATACACTGATCTAAGCCATGACATAAACTATTCTAGTACCCTCCAGATAGCTTGGACCAACCTCCATAATTCAGTGCTGCCAGGAAGTGATCAGAATTGTAGCCTAACATACTGTCCCTGGAGGCACCAGTTTGAGGAAAAACAAAAAGGTTTCTGCTTACTAAACACACATCATTTCCAAACTTTACCCCTCACAGCCAGAAAGTAATCAAACTTAAAGAAAGTGAACCATGTTTCAAAAACACAGTTCTTCATTTACATGTATAATCACCTCTATAATAATGGCATTTATTTTAAGTCAAATGAATAATTCCTTTTCTTTCCATGTTTGATGCAGTGTTATATATTCCAAAACTGAGCAGACACCTGGATAGGATCAATTTTCTACATCCTGCCATTAAAAAGATGACTAACGTAAAGCAGTTTGTATAGTAAAAGGGCATGGAAAGAGACAAGAAATGCACTTTCACTAATTCCTCACTAGATCCTAATACAAAACATGACTTGTATAACCCACTCATCAATTAAATGATCTTTATAGCAGAAGGAACATATTTTCTTGAACTAAAATCAAGATTGGCTGAATTCTTTTTCTGCCCACACACACACACACAAACAAGCGTCAGCATCTCTTTGTGACATCATACTCTTCAAAACCTTAAATAATTCTACTATACTGATTATGCTATCAATTGGCAGAAAACTATATACAATAATTAATATTAAAGTAAAATAGCACTGCAATGTTCTTTCCAATGTTATTTGACATTTGCATTCCCTAAACAAAATCTGATTAATGCCTCCCATGAAATTATACACTTTGATATATTTTCCACCCACCCATAAATAATTCCATAGATGCAAATCAGTTTTTGAAGTTCAGAATGGAATGGGGCAAGAGCCATCAGAAAGCAGTGGCAAGCAGGCCTCCTAACTGCTCAGAAAAAGTGCTTTCAGTGCCAGAGAATATCGCCTGATATGCTTTGGCCACCAGTGTAAAGAAACCTCTTAGTGAGGTGTATCTAAAGGCTCAATGATTTTTTCTTTTGGCCAGCATTGAATGGAATAGGCCATTGGAGATCATGCAATAAGTTAACTGGAAACTTAAGGCCAGCTCGAGAATTGAGAAGCCTTAGACAAAATGACTTCTCATGGGAGTCCTCCATTCTGTTTGGGCTTTCCTATGCTTTGATAAGTGTAACTTTTATTTCTTTATTTCCCACAATGCCCACAGTTAATGCTACATTGGGGCACTGACGTTAAAATAGTATCTAAATCTAGTTGGCCAACAGCATTCAAACATTAGCATGGATTTCCCCACCTTGATGGAGATCAAAGTCAGGCATCAACAATGGCTCATATTTGCTCTGTAGACTTCCTTTGAATCTGAGACAGATATTAGGATTCCAACAAAAAAACAATGTAGATTCTGTATTTTTGGATTCTGTCTAATTCTGGCTAATCACATTAACACTGAGGAAAAGGGTTTATGAATCTGCTATAAATAATTAGATAGCCCTTAGATAGTAAAAAACTCATCATGACAACTTAACTATATGGTTCCAATAACAGCAACAACAAAAATAGCAAAATGCTAAAAAAGAAGGAAGGAAGGAAGGAAGGAAGGAAGGAAGGAAGGAAGGAAGGAAGGAAGG